TGCTGCTGTTGCCTCTGCTGCTGCTGCTGCTGTTTTGAAGTTGTTGTTTTGGGTTCTCTTGCTGGGAATGATGCGGCTGTGCAGAGCAAAATGAACAGGCCAGCCCAGCAGCACCAGCAGCAGCAGCAGCAGCAGCAGCAGCTTTGTCTAAAACACCATGTTAATGCACACACTAACCAGAAAAAAATAATAAATTCTGTTTTTTCTTTAACAGCTTCTGCAGCGCTGGGGTGTACGTACACCCCGGAGAAAGTGAAGGCTGGAGTGGTCCGGTGACTGCTGCCCGACCGCTGGTTTAGCAGCAGCAGCAGCAGCAGCAGCTGCTGCTGCTGCTGCTGCTACTGCTCTCGCATGCATAATTCACTTTTTGCTGCTGCTTTCATTAATTAATTCCATTTTTTATCAAAAAAAAAACTTCAACAAAATTCCCGCCCGAGTCCTTTGCTGGAGGCCCTGGACCGGTCTGGGGCGCCGTCACCCTGTTGTACCTCAAACCCTAAACCCTAAACCCTAAACCCTAAACCCTAAACCCTAAACCCGAAACCCGAAACCCTAAACCGTAAGAATTAGCGGCTCCGATTCGTTTGCTGGCTACTAAGCAGCTATTCATTCCGTGTTGTGCTTCCCACTAGAACAGCAGCAGCAGCAGCAGCAGCCTGTCTTTATTTATTTACAAATGTGTACAATTGATTTATAAATAAAAATTTATATATATATATCTATAAATATATATACGCATAAATATACTTATATATTTATTTATTCATTTATATGATAATGGAATTCATAAAACCTCCTATGAGTAAAATATATTAAATGAATTTCTTTTTGCATTCAATGTATTTAAATAAACAAAGAATAGTTTATTCAATATATCTGCATATTTCCATTCAAATATATTAAATGAACTATTCTTTTTGTTTATTTAAATACACTGAATGAATTTATTATTTTTGCTTATTTACATACAGGAAATAAATTTAATTTTTGTTTATTTAAACATACCAGATGAGTTTGTCCTCCTAGCTCATTTAAACATATTCCATGGATTTCCTCTTTTATTCAAACATATTATATGAATTATTTCTTTTGTTCATCTAAATGTTCTGATTGCATTTGAAGCAGAAAAGAACAACGAAAACGAGAGGCCCGCGGGGTGTATCGACACCTGCAGGCGGCCAGAAGGCGGCAGTCGGCATTTTTCTTTTGGGAGAATAAAAGAGTTTAATTTATTTTCTTTTAATTTAACCCGAAATAGTTTTTATTTTATTTTTGCTTTTTGATTTACTGTGCATATTCTGCGGAATCTAGAGGAAAGTGAGTTTTCAAAAAGCCTCTTTTCAGGACAAGTTGCTTCCTGCTGCTGCTCTTTTCGAAAACAAATTAAAGCTAATTAATCATGTAATATTTTTATATTCTGGAAAACAAACTCCTAGTCTGAACTATAAAAAATAAAAAGAATGAAGTGAAAGAATGAAGAGGGCAGAAGGCCGCGCGCAGGTTCACGAGGCCATCGTTGGGGTGTACAGACACCTCAAGCTACGCACAAAGCGCCCCGCGGTGTACAGACACCGCAGCGCACGCAGCCGCAGCCGCAGCGAAGTCGAGAAAGCCCCACAAACCCTAAACCCTAAACCCTAAACCCTAAACTCTCGCAAGGTTGGCCACTGAAAAACGGGGGAATTGAAGTTGGAGAGCCACGCGCTGCAGCCGCGGCTGCGCCCCGGCCTGGGGTGTACAGACACCTGGAGCGCGCGCACGAAGGCACCTGGCAGTGCACTTCGCGTCAAATAAATAAGTTTTGGATTAATTATTTATTAAAGATTTTTTATTTTGCAAAAAAGAAGTAAAAAATCAAAAATATAAACAACACGAAGGCCGCCAAGTGCAGCATGTGCCACCCGCCCTGCGCGCCAAGACCGCAGCAGACCAGCAGACGCTGGGGTGTCAGTGGTCGACTTGGGAGCTTCTTGCGGACAAAAATTGAATTTAAATGCTTAAAATGCTTATTTTTATTAAATATAAGTCAATTATTTATTTAAATTCAAATTTTAAAGTAAAAATATCTCAAACTCAACACTCACCCCCGACTTGAACATTCGGTCCATCCGCCGCACGCTGTTGCGTACAGACACCCGAACGCCTTCGAGCCGCCCCACCTGCGCCAAAACAAAATTCAAAACATTTATTTTTAATTCCAAATTTTGCTTCTCTAAAGTGCCATTTCAGGCTCCCGAGCACAACCTCTTGCTGCTGCTGCTGCTGCTGCTGCTGGTCCCGAGGCTCCCGCTAGTCGGGCTGATGCTCATGCCCCTGCTACTGCTGCTGCTGCTGCTGATGCCCCTGCTGCTGCTGCTTATGCTGCTGCTGCTGCTGCTGCTGCCCACCATTGTGCCGAGAAGACTGTTGGAGGTCTGCACTTCATCTCGCATGGCCAGACTCAGCTGCAGGATTAACAGCTCGCAAGAAAAGTGGCACTACATTAGATAAGTAGCAGCAGCAGCAGCAGCAACAGCGGCAGCAAGAAACGCGAAAGCAGCAGCGATAACGCTGCAGAAGCCCAGCTGCAAAACAGCAGCAGCAGTCGCAACGGCTCCAGCAGCAAAAGCAGCAGCAACAAAAGCCAAACACCCGAAAGCACGCGCAGCAGCAAGCAGCGCCTCCAGCAGCAGCAAAGCAGCAGCAGCAGCAGCAGCAGCAGACCTCCTTGAGACCCTGGACCCTGGCCTCCAGGTCATCGATGTAGGAGTCATTTTCGGCCTCGAGGGACTCGAGATTTTTTATTTGTTTCCATTCGTTTCCGTTTTCCTTCTTTCGCATCATGCGCTGGGGTGTACGTACACTCGAAAAGGCCGCGGAATCCCAAAGCCTTCTGCTGCGTCAAAGGGCCCCCAGAAGTTTTCCGAGTTTCTTCCGGGGCCCCCGGAGTGCGGAAAAAGAAGGGAAAAGAAAAGAAAGGAAGAGAAAAGAAAAGAAAAGAAGTGAAGAGAAATAAAATCAAATAAAATCCGAAAAGACCAACCAAAGAAAGACCAAACACAGAAGGGCAGCTTCCGGCGCCACCGGGGGTTTTTCAAGTGCAATTGGCCTTCTGAAATTAACAAATTAATAAATAAATGAACAAATAAATTAATAAATAAACAAAAATGACGCAAAGGTGCTGCGGCGCGGGCGAATCAAGCTGCGGCGCGGCGTCGAGGTGTCTATACACCTCAGCGCGAACCGGGCAACACGCGGCAGCCTCCGATGGCACACTCGGCAGAATAAAATAAAACTTGCGCGAAATTCTTTTTAATTTTCCTTTTAATTCTTTTACTTTCAACTTTGGACTTGTTTTTAAACGACTCGCCGTCAAAGTCCACAGATGGCGGCAATGGTCCAGCCAGCGCATGCAGCCCCAAACCGAATGCGGCAACTTGCCTTCAATTCAGCAGCGCAGCCGCTTAAAACAGGAATAAAAAAGAATATTTTAATTATTTTTTAGAAATAAAATTATTTAAAATGCTTTTAAGCCGCAACATCAAGTCTAAATTGCCCTTCTTGCACAAGTCTAGCTCGCAGCGCTGCAAAGCGCGGACCTGTTTGCGAGATTCTGCCAACGCCCTGATTCCTGCTAAGCGCTGTTAAGATATTTAATTGTTTTAGTTTTATTTTAGTTTATTGTTGATGTTTTTAATTTTGATTTTAGTTCATTTTTGGTGTTTATAAACTGTTGGGCTGTTCAACTTTGCCTGCATTGGCGGTAGCCACTGTGAACCGTTCGGGTGTACGTACACCCTGTGAACTGTTCGGGTGTACGTACACTGCCCACTCGCATGCGTGTGCCCTCGCCAGCAGTTTAGTTCTTTAGTTCGTCAGTTATTTAGCTGCTGCCCAAGAAAGCAGCAGCTGGGCCCCCAGCCGTAGGCCAAATAGCTTTTTAAACTTCTTCAAAGGTTCATTAAGTGCAGCCAGCAGCAGCCTTTGTGAAATTCCCGTACGCGCAGAAGCTCCACAGCTCTGCTGCTTAGTCTTTGCTGCTGCTGCTGCTGCTGCTGAGCTGCTGTTGCCGCTGCTACTGCCTCATAAGGCCTTTCTGTCGGGAGTTTGCTTCTCCCGAATCTGAGGCGCACCAGAATCCCCAGAGAAGTTTTATTCTCTTTATTTATTTCTAAAATGCTGTGCTCCTGTTTCCTGCTGCCGTTTTTGCTGCAGCAGCAAAAAGAAGCCCCCAGCGCTGAAGGTTTGCTGCAGCAGCTGCTGTTGCTGCAGCAGCAAGAAAAAGCCCCCAGCACTGCAGGTTTGCTGCAGGAGCTGCGCGGCTGCTTCTGCAGAAATTCAAAACTCCTTTTGAAAAGAATTGGATCTCTAAACTTCTTTGGAGCTGCTGCTGCTTGCTTCAGCAGCAGCATTTCAGGTGTATGGACACCTCAAGTCATGGAAACAAACAAAACCCCCCTTCCGGTCAAAAGTTAAATCAAAATTGCGGAATTGTGAAATAACAACAAGTCATAAAAGCAGCTGCAGGAAGAGAGTTTGCTGCTGCTGCTGCTGCTGCTGCTGCTGGCGCTCCTGGTACTGCTGCTGCTGCTGCTGCTGCTGCTGCTCGCTGCAGCTGCTAGGCGCGGGTGGCAGCGAGCTGCTTGAGCTTCTCGCTCAAGAGCTGCGTCGCCTGCTTAATTGCTGCGTCTGTGATTTGCTGCAGCTGCTGCTCTTCATCTCTTTTGGAGCCTTCGCTGCTGCTGCTGTCTTTAAAAAGAACCCGCAGCTTCCCCCGCGCTTCCTGCCGAACCCGGCGAATGTGGACTTTGCACTGCAGCAAGCAGCAGCAGCAACAGCAAACGACGCAGCAGCAGCAGCAAAGGAGACAGCAGCAGCATGCAGCGCAGCAAGCAGCAGCAGCAGCATGCAGCGCAGCAGCCAGAAGCAGCAGCATTACCAGGGGCTGCCAGTAGGAGCAGCAGCAGCAAGCAGCAGCAGCAGCAGCTAGCAGCAGCAGCCAGCAGCAGCTGAAGTTCTAGCGGAGGGAACCCCATAAACCAACGCAGGACTCAGGGGCGGTAGCAGCAGCAAAGCGGGGCTGCTTGCTGCTGCGCAGCAGCAGAAATGCAGCAGCAAAAGGGGCAGAAAAATGCACATAGACAAATAAATATAATTGCATAAAAGTAACTCACCTCCTCTGCTGCTGCTTTGGCTTGAGCAGCAAAAGAGTTGCGCAGCTCTTCAGTCATCTGAGCAGCAGCAGCAGCAGCAGCAGCACGGAAACAGCAGCATTTCGCGAGCTTTTTGCGCCAAATCCTTTCAAAATCCATTAATTTGATTTATTTAATTAAATAAAATTAACTGTTTAATAAGTATGGAGTGGCAAATAATATTTATTATTCAATTTGCCATTTTTACTTTTGGAAGCTGCACACGAATTGTTGTCGGCCCCTCCTCCACAATCCTCCAGTTGTCATCCACTTTTCTTAAAGCTGATATCACCTGCGCGAAGCGTCCCGCAGGTCTGCAGCCCCCAGTGTGCAGCAGCAGCAGCAGCAGCAGCAGCAGGAGCAGGAGCAGGAGCAGGAGCAGCAGCAGCAGTACCTTGGGAAGGCTATGCTCGGAAAACAAGGAAAGGACAACAACTGAACTTCCCTTAATTTGCACTTGGGACAAATCGCCGAGGCGCTTGTTGCTGCCTGTACACCCCGCAGCGCAGCGCAACCTCGAAACGATATGCTTCGAATTTTAAATAAATAAACAGAAATAAAAAGTAAAAAAGAATTTTCAATTAAAAAGAAATGAGTGAAAGAAATAACTCAAAAGAGAAGAGGCAAGAAAGCCCGGCGCGCGCATACACCTGAATCCTCGCAGCGCAGCCCGATCCAGGAAATCTCGCCAATAAAAGAAAAATATTTTCAAATAAAATGAAATTAAAATTCCTTTTTATTAATTTTAATCCAAAAATAACTCAGATCGGCCACGCGGAGGGTCAGTTTGCTGCTGCTCGTTTCCTTCAGCTTGCAAGTTGCTGCTGCAGTGCAACCTGCTGCGCGGCGAGAGCTGCAAGTCCAGCAAAACTGCAGCAATTTATATTTATATTTATATTTATGTATATTTATATTTATATTTATGTTTATATTTATATTTACGCTTATACTGATTTATATTTATATTTATGTGGATATATTTATATACATATAAAATATATATATGGGAAGCCTCTGTGAAGTTCTTCTTTACTGGGCTGTTCAATTTTCCTTATAAATGCAAAGACAGGCAATTAATGGAAGTCTTAATTTATTTATTTTAAAATTAAAAAAGCCAAAAAATCAAACAAAGACAAACAATTGGAAGTGATATTTATGTATTTATTTTGATTTAAAAAGAAAAAGAGATTGGACAAAAAGCGGCAATTAGTTGCAATATTTATTTATTTATTTATTTATTTAGATTAAAAAGTTCAAAAAGAATAGAAAAGGTGTGGGGTGTGGGGTGGGGCGCTGGGGTGTACGTCCACCTTGCACTCGTATTTCTTCGAAAGTTTCGACTTGAGGTCTGGAGAGATTCATTTCTTTTAATCTTGCAGCCAAGTGCTGCAGCTGTTCATTCATTTGCTGCTGCGCTGCTGCTGCTGCTGCTTCTGCTGCAGCTTCGGCCGCCTGCAGATCGAAGCACCCCGCGGCCTTGCCGCCTCGCCTGTGCTGCTGCTGCTGCTGCTGCTGCTGCTGCTCCCTCCAACTCCCTGCTTCTGCTGCTTCTTCTTCTCTCACAACATTTATTTTCTTTAACATTCTTTTCATCTTTTTCTCTTTTGCAGATTCTCCTTTCTGTTTTCCCCCGCTGAAGTCCCGGGCTGAGGGGGCCCCCCAGTTGGCCCTGGGGGGCCCCCCTGGCCTTAGCTGGGGGCCCCCCAGCAGCTGCTGCCCACACCTTTCGCCTCCTACTAAAGCAGCAGCAGCAGCAGCAGCAGCAGGAGACCTCCCTGGGCAGCTGCAGCAAAATGCTCGGGGGGCCCCAATGCTGCAGCAAAAGTAAGGGAGGGCCTCCTTTCCAAGGCAGCGGAGACAAAACATTTGGGGTCTCTGGAGATAAGTTCGCTGTCGCTGTGAGCTGCTGCTGCTGCTGCTGCTGTTGCTGCTGCTCCTGTTGCTGGTGGCGCTGCAGCTGCTGCTGTGTCGGCTGCAGGTGCAGCAGCTGCGTCACTCGAGCATCAGAGGCGCAGCGCCATCCGCTGCAGCTTGGGTGTAAACGCTGTCCTTCCTGACAATGCAGCAGCAGCTGCTGTCGCTGCCGCCGCTGCTGCTGCTGCTGCTGCTGCCGGCCACTGCTGGCTGCTGCTGCTACTGTTGCTGCAAGGCTGGTGAACTAGCAGCGCAGCGTGCAGAATTGGCGGCAAAAATGAAGTGCAGCAGAGGCTTTAGGCTCTGCTGCTGCGAGGCGCGCACAGGAGCCAGCAGCAAACTGCTGCTCCGGGTCTTCGGCCCAGCGTGGACTCCGCAGCAGCTAGCGAGCTGCTTAAAGCCACTTAAAAAGAGCTTTAAAAACCTTTTCTTGAGCTGAAATTGAGAAGTTTGAAGCAGCGAAAAGGGTAATTTGCAAAAGAAAGAAGAGGGAAATGGCTGGAGTGTCTGGCTTGACTATCGACCCCGCAGGTTGGGGCTGGAAGTCGTCGCATGCAGGTCCGGGCGCCGCGACAAAGGATTGTAAGTGATAAATTGAATTCAAATAAATAAAATTGATGAATTGTAGTTTGTTTTTCGTGAAATAAAGGTTTTCGACGGACAGAACTTGCCGCGGCTCTCGACGGCTGTCTCAGCGTGCACTCGAGGTGTCTCGAGACTCCCCTGCGGCACTCCCAGTCGCCGTTCAGAAGTGTGAAACTTGAGACTTTTATTTTAAAAATAAATACTTTTAAAACTGCAGGAATTATCAAAATGACTTGAGAAGGAAGGGGCAGACAGGCATTTCACGGGTGATCGACTCCGGCTGTCCTTCCGCGAATCTGCAACGAAATCCCAGCCCACGTGCCAATTGCAAGTTGAAAGGCAGCAAACTTCGTTCAAAAAATGGAAGTTGACAGCTTTTCGAGAAGGCCTTCACTAGGCAAAGAAGTTGGATGGGATGACATATTCAAAAATGTGAATTCTTTCGACATTCCGGTTTTTCAGCCCCTCGTGCCCCGTGCACAGCGCGAAGCTGCGGGAAACCCGGGTCAAATCCGGCGTTATTTAGGCGTTTTTTGAATCTTATTTTGCTTTTTTTGTTGTCTAAATTGCATGCAGGTCTTCAGCAAAAGATCCGAAGCTGACGGAGTCCACGAAGACTCAGGTCCTTCACGAGTTCCCGCAGCCCCAGCGCATTTGGCCAACTCTGGGGTATTCTACGTGAAGCTGCAGCCAAGCAAAGATTTGGCAATTCTCGCCTCGGCTTCAGACGAGGCCATTCAAGCCGTCAAAGTCCGCCACTTTGCCTAAATTTGAATTTATTTTTATCTCAAAGTTCCCTTTTGAATCCTCAAAGTTCTCATTTAGCTCTTTATTTCAATGCAAATAAGTTACTGGCTTAAAGACTGAACCCGCAGGCTTCTTTGCTAACGTTTCCCTTGGTCAAATGAAGCTAATCAGTCCACCCCCCCCGTTGTCACGAGCAAATGTCGCAATACTAGAATAATTGAAAAATAAATAATTATATTTGCAATATAAATCACATAATTATTATATAATTTTCATGATTATTAATTAAAAACGGTCGGAAGTTTCACCAAGAGCGCATAGCCATAATACACGTATATGACCACTGCAGCGAGGAGGCAAAGGACTGTGGGAAAAGTTGCACATTTAGGAAGAAATTGTGTTTAAGTTTGTTCTAAAATTTCAAATTTGCTTCTTTTTTCATTTCAGACACTCGCAAACGCCCTGGGCCACCGCTGGCGCTTCGTAGGGAGGTACCGGGTGCCGCGGGTTTCGCCGGCCGTGCGGCTTGTGGAAAGCCCGCTGCACCAAAGTGACCTCGAAAGACGCAGTTCTGCACAAGACGGAGCTGCTCGCTGGAGTTCAACTTCTCAGGCGCCGCAAAAGGCCTTCGAAGGAATGAGCAAAGAGCCCATCTTCGACCCCTTGAGCGTCGAGCCCCCCGCGAAGTGCTCCGCGCTCTTCAGATTCGTCGACGGAGTCATGCAGGTAACAGCCACTTCTGGTGGTTTTCGAAAAAAAATGTTGAAAAAAAAAGTATAGTTCAAGTATCGGGGGGGCGTTGGGTGTAAAGAAGAGGACAGGTCTTTAAATGGAAACATGATTAAGTGGAAACGGGCAGATTGCTGATTAGGAATTGCGGCATGGAGGCACAAATAGGGCTGCAGGCGACTCGGGCTGTGCAACTTGTGACTTGCATATGTATACGGGCTAATAATTTCGCTTGAATTTCTTCTGCGTGTAGCTAGGCGCTGTTTTGAAGTGGGAGGAAGCAAAGCGCTGAGGCTGTGTCGGCTGCCGCACCAGCGCGGCTTGAATGTGGACAGAGAAGAAGCATTCGGCGCCTCAGCTAAACTTATTTTGTGCTTTTGTGTTCTGGAAATTCTCGCCTAAGTCTGGGCTCTAAGGCAATCCACTTCTGCTCATTTCTGTGTTCTAGGTGTACTGGGACCCTGAGCAAGAAAGAGCGGATCCGCCTCTTTTGTGGAGTCCAAATTCGATTCCAACAGTCAGAGAATATCTCGCGGCATTGCAAGATGTAATGATTGCAGTGCAAGATCCAGGTAATTAGCGGATGTGTTAGCTTCTCGCGTGCCTGCAAATGGGGCATCGCAGAAGCGTTGGGGCGCTCTTGTTTTCATTTAGTGACTTCATAATGTGTTTGTTGTTAAGTTCTCATCTTGATTGTAGCTTTTCTCCGGGAGTTGCATCAATGAATTATCTGCTTCTGCGCAGTGGGGCTGCAGTGCGGCTTGGGATATTCATTTTCGTCTTTCTTTCGCGCCCGCATCATCTCCTCCTTTGCTTGTGTTTCTTCTGTGTTCCTTGTGATGAGCAGCCTGCAAGACTTTTTGCTACAGACGAATCAAATTTCTGGAGGGAAAGTTTAACTTTCACTTGATGTTCAATTCGAGTATGACGCAATGAATGCATTATCCCCATTACATCCCGTACTCTAACTTGAATTTTGATCAGTTTTATAGTAGCTGCTGTCTGCGGAACTTTGAAACAGGACAAGGGTTAATCCCACTTGTACCTACTGGCTTGGATCTTATCCCGAAAACACTATTCGTGGCTCTGCAGAATCTATATTTGCTGCTCCTACGCATCTTATTGACAGGCGCGGAAGTAGAGGAAACCAAACACAACAAACACAGGGACTTCTACAATGTAAGAAAAGTGGACACGCACGTCCACCATTCGGCATGTATGCATCAAAAGCATTTACTACGCTTCATCAGGTGGGCTTGACTTCTTGCGTAATGATATGGTAGCTTATCGTCTACATTCAGGATATCAGTTCAAACAAGAATATATTACCGCCACACGGAATTAACAAAGGAGTATTCCTTAAACACGCACGTGCATTTTTTTCTGTACAAATATCTATATCTATCCAGTAAAATGTGTATTTTTCTGTCTGTCCCTGCGTACATTAGGTTACTTGGTGTACCTGCATATGTACAAACATGTGGCGCCATGACTTCCGCACCATTTGCGCCTTCCTGGTGATTGGAACTTAGTGTGAACTCTGCGAGCTTGTGAGCAGGAAGAAGTACAGAACAGAGGGCGACACAGTAGTCGCTACAGAAGATGGCCAGGGCATAACATTGAGGGATTTGTTTCAGAAAGAATTGGGGTTCAGTGCAAGTGAAGCGTCAGTTGATCACCTGAATGTCCACGCTCTCGGTGAGAGCGCGGATCCGAATGGAGACTTGAAATACACAATAGTTGCAGCGGAAGTTTTAGTTTAAATTGCCGAACACAAGCTTTCCCTGATGGCTTGACGAGTGCTTTCTCACTGGACTGTTTTCCTATAGGAAGCTGGCTGAGGTGATTTTCGCTGTTTTTTCAGACTGTGGGTCTAGTGTTTTGTGGAGGCTGTTTTTAGGTTCTTGTTTTCAACGTTTTGATCTGTTTAATCAGAAGTACAATCCGTTTGGTCAAGCTAGGCTTCGAGATGTATTCCTCAAGACCGATAACCACATCAAAGGTAGCTCCTATTTCATATTTTTAGGCAGTTTTGTTCTTGTTCCTCTTGACTCCCAGTATTTTTGAGCAGCAGGCGAGAAAAGTTTGCTTTATGTTTGCTGGGTTTCTTTCAGGCCGCTTCCTCGCAGAGTTGACGCAGGAGGTCATTGCAGATTTGGACGATAGAAAGTACAACATCTTTATGTTGTGCTCCCAGTTGGCGTGTTGATGCAAGTGTTTACATTATGACATTTATGTTATATGATATTCGTGCGTTCATGATCTGCTAGCGAGGAGTTTTTGCAACTGTCTGACAAAGTCATCAGATATTCCAAGTTGTTGTCTTGAGCAAATGGTTTGCATTTGCAATATCAATTCCAACTCGGCGCTGTTCACCCTCGTAGCTTTTTTATTGCCTGTATTGCTTGGCAAGGAGCTGCTTTCTTGCCATTTGAACGCTTTGTGGGTTAGTTATGTCAATTATATGGTTCATTTCCACTTAAAATAGTAACAGGACGACCAGTGAGATGCAGTGTGCTCATTTAATATTTACGTTTGTACTTGCCTCAATCTGTCAGCTGTCAGTTCATGGTAGTCGGCATCATCACGCGCGAGGCGCAAAGAAGACAAAGCATAAA